TAAATCACAGTAAAACATTATCAATTAAAAATTTGACTAGTCTGTACATTTATCGTCTCAAATTTAAACTAAAATCACAAATTCAAGGGAATACAAAGTATTAGGTTACAAGAGGTCACAGTGTCTGGTGTAGGTTCTGTAAGGAAGGATACTGAAGAAGCAGTAAGCTCTGTAAAGAAAAGATAATATATGCAGGAAGACAACAGTATAAAGAGAACTGGATGTTCACAGCAAACTGCAGATATAAAGATGGCTATCTTACATGACTCATTTGCAAAGCAGATAATGTAATTTTTTTTAGAATTCATGACATACTAATTTCATCACATCAGAAAAGATTGGAGAAGTGAAGACAATGGCAAAGTTTCATGTATAAGATAGTTATTTCATTCTAGAAAAACTGTACCAGTATTTCAATTAATTGTTTTTTTCCAACATCTCTTCTGCTTTTCTTTTTTTAGGTTGGTTGTCATTTTCTAAGTTTAAGAACTTTTCAATTTCATTTATGTGACTTGTTATGAGCCTCTGCCACTCATCTTCACCAGAAGGGGCTGCCAAATCAACAGTACCTTTACTCTTGATTGCCTCAAAATGGCTTTGTAGCAAAGTTGATTTCAGAGACTTTGTTTCCACCTAGGAAAAAACCAAACTAGTTTTACCATTGAAATTATTATACAAAAGACTTTAAAGAAAATCTGTGAATCCTCTATAGTTATGTTTATGTGATAAAGCCACCATATTCTTGGCTGGTTTCCCACAACCTTAGTAATTCTGGCATCAGGGAACTATACCGTGTGAATTAATGTATAACCAGAAGTAAACTGTATAAAAACTACCTTTTACGTCATATCTCCTCTGATGTTTTAGAGCACCATTGTTGAAGAAACAGGAAAGAGCAATGTGGTAGTTGGAAGTTGGCATGTTTTCAAGGCACTGGACTGGGTCATACTTATAATAATCTGTTTAAAAATAACTTGTTTTAAAGATTTTTTTTCTGATAATAAAATATTTATTCGAAATCTAGGAAATAGAAGGAAGCATAAAGGAACTAAAAATCATTAATACATAGTTGGCTGCTAAAGTTTTTGAGACAGATATGTTATGGCCCATTTTTTCACTTCCAAGAAACACAGTTGACAGTGTCCTTTCTGCTTCAGCCATGCAACATTCAGCTTATCAGTGTTACTGGGAGGGTTTCATCAGTCTGTATAGATTTTACACTTCTTGACTTTTGTATATCTCAAAGTTTTTGTAATCCATTACCCAAAGGAACTTGTCAACGTTTGGTATTGTTTGCTGCTCGGCTTTCTCCCCTATTTTTAGCATATTTGATCATTCTATAGAATTTTATATCTTGCCTTTTCCTCTGTGAGCAGTTTCCTAGCTCATTGAAATTTGCCATAAACTACTGTCAGTGACTGCTAAATATAAAACTCCCTTTTATAGATGTGTAATAATTTAACTGTGTCCTACAATTGAATGTTGTTTCCAGTTTATCACTATCAAAAGTAAATTTGAGTTACTTTTCATGAAAAAAACTTAGATGGTCTTCAGACAGACTCTCAGACAAAATCTATTCAAAGAGAATATTAAGTTGTTTTTAAAATAATTTACTATTTTTTATTCTTTAGTTGTAAGAGAAATACACATGTATTTTAGAAATATGGGATAGGATAATACTTACACTAAAATTACCCAAAAGTCCAGACACCATTAAACATTAATCAGTTTATATGCTATGTTGCATTTTTAGCATTTATACCTGTTAAAAATTTAAGAGCTGTATATTATTGGACATTTAAATTGCAAAAGATGATCACCGTTATAAATTATGCTGCAAAGAATCATTTGTTCATAAACCTTTGAAAATCTTTTTGAGTATTGCCCTACACTGAAATCTTTTCCAATTTGACTAGTAAAAGTGTCAGTGACACTGTCATTTTCAATGTAAGATTATGTTGTAATAATTTTTTAAATGAGCCTAAATATGTAGAATGGTTAAATTCACAGTTCCAAGTGTTCCATATAATACCAAGAATATATGGGGAAAAATAAATCTAAATCTAGTAATTTTGAAGGAAAACGACTGATGATCTGTATGATTTAATGGTCCTATTTTGCCATCAAAATGCTTTATGCATTTTGGTGCATTTAGCATTCAAATACAAATTAGCAGTTTCCCCAGATCCTGATTATTTGACTTTATGATGTTGTAAAGGAGAGACACACTTACACATATCCAATTTAGTTTCCCATAACTACCCACTTGGTAGGAAGGGTGGCAGCAGAGACTGGCTGTAGAGAAGCAACTGCATAATGTAGATTAAGGTTTACACTTAGCAAAACTGGTCCTATTTAGCTCACTGTAGCCTACTACAATAATTTTAATAGTTTGCCAGATAAGTTGCCACATAACTTTGTATCTCTTTTAGAAAATTTTTTATCACCCCCTACTTTCTCTTTCAGCTTGACTTACTTTTTGGCCTAAAAATTTCCCCCAGCTTGGTACTAATCCTTTTATTTCACCCTAGGATGGTATTTTAAAATTTAATTTAAATGAACCTAATTAATTGGATGTATAAAATAAAATGGCTCATTTGCTTACTCTGGGTCCCCTCTTCCATCCTCATTCCTGGATACTATGTATAATCAAGATTGTAAAAGACTACCAACCTAACTCCTCAAGAACAAAAAACATACCTTACCTTTTCAAGTTACTTCAAACCTAGAGGGAGAAAGTGGACTGACACCTAATACTTGCCCCAAGTTTAACAGAATTAATATGCAGAGTGTAAATAAAAATACATTGAAAAATAAACTTAAGCTCCTTTTCTGGCTATAAGTCTTTATCAAATTCATTTGTCTTTAGAACAGGTTGGCAAACTTTCTACAAAGAGCCAGATAGTAAGTATTTTTGGCTTTATAGGCCAAGTTGCCTGCTTAATTCTGTCACTGCTGTACAAAAGCAGCCTTTATGGTGTGGCTGTGTTCTAATAAAGCATTACTTACTAAAAATATCTACTTTTGGATATGTCCCATTTATATAATTGATAACCAAGCTTAAGCTAGGACAGTGATATGCTGATGCTTAGTATAGTAGTTGGCACATAGCAATGAGCACTTAGAAAATGTCTGTTTAGCCAGGGAACTGAGTTTGTTTTATATCCACCAGTATTTTAAGAAACAATTGTTCTACTATGAAAGTTGAGAAAATAAAGTATTTGCCAAGCCATCGAGTCTGTGGTCCACCACAGACTTGTCTTAATGACCTTGGAAAGTTATTTCACATTTGTCACATTTCTTTATATGTAAAATGGAAAAAAAAAATACTTACCTTAGAAATGTTGGAGAACTATTTCT